AAAAATAGAATCACAGGGCAATCCCAAAAAGGAAACTTGAAATTCAACTCCCCACCTAAACTCCATTTCCTATTTGTCAAGCACCTCATAGGATTAGAAATTCGTTGTACGAAAGAAAATTTTTCTAATTTCAACGGAATTCTAATCCAGTGAAATGAACGAGTTTGTACAAGTTCATATAGGTTGTCCTCATTTACCTTCTTGTGTTAAAAGGCTGTTTCATTTTTACTCAACCACAATGACCATATTATGGTAAACCATAACATGTTCCAGCTCTTTTTTAGAATTTTTGAGCCCTTATACCATTTGTGTTGGTTGAAAACATCAAGACAAGTATTTCCAGGAACATAATATAATCCCCACCAATTCAGACATTTAGACCATAAAGCTCACTGTGAGTTTATCTAGAGGTATGTTAAGTTTGTGAGGATAGGAGGGATTTTTTTATCAATTAAATTATAATATTTAAAAATATAATAAATTTATAATTTGATTGATTAAAAAACTTATCCCTCCCCTCCTCTCAAACCAAACATACTCTAAGGATTATGATGTACTTTGTAATCTCTATTTTCTTTTGCCCATATGACACCTATCGTAAGTTTACTTGATGTACTATATTAGTTTATCAGTGAATCTATATATGATTATTTTATACAAAACAAAAAAAAAAAATTTCTATTAAGTTTCTAAATTTGATAATTTTATTAAATTTGTTATTGAATTAATGGTTTAAAACTGTCTACAAAAGCTTAACTCAAATGAGTAATGTAATGATATTCAAACAACATACATATATATATGTAATACCATAAATTTTAGTAAAATAACAAGAATTAATTATTAAATTATGTATAAGATTGTATAAAAATTTATTATATATAAATTATCTCTAATTATTTTCCCAACCTATATAGGACATCTTTATATATAAAAACTACAAGTATACCAAACAAAATGCTTTGAGTTTCTTGGATAGGGGTCAATACCATACTTGTTTATCATGAGTTTCGGATTTACAGAGCATCTACTTACCTCGGACTTAGAGATTCGTAAATAATTGTTTTTTTATTATGAAAAAATAAATCCCTTACTATAACCAATTAAACTGCAGTACCTAATTACTTCCAAAGTTCCAATCCCTATATGATCGATACAGTAAACTATATGTTGTCTGACAATCTTTAATGGTGATCCAAGCTGTTAGTGCGAAATTATATTAAAGTGGCCGTTGGATCAACAGACAGTCATGGTCCGGAGCATCATTGTGATGCATGTGATCTAAAGGAGCAGCTGCCGTGTACAGGGCTAGGCCCCAAAGGCAAGTTAGCACATATTGACTGCACCATCTACGAGGCTGGGACATGGTTTGACCGTCGGCGATCATGTTGCTGAGGACCACGTCAGAATCTGATCCGATCACCAACTGCATGCTGTTATATTCCGTTTGTCTGAAGGCGGCAAGGTTTCGATCGGTTTTTCAAATTTGAAGTTCCTGCGCAGGATATCTGTATTTGTTAGAGAAATCAAAGAAGCAGAATGGGTTTCTTATATAAGAAATGAAAATTTTAAAGTTTTTGAAAAAAGCTTTTGGATCTAGATGGAATATTTTTGGACTTTTTTTTGTGTGGACTTTAATTTGATCTTCATAGCAAAATCAAAGCAACATTTTGTAAAGAATAATCATACTATTATTAAGATATGGCGGTATCGTGAAGGTGAAGATTTTCCACGTTTTTTCCAACACTACTTGCTTTGCATCTAGAGGAGACAAAGGTTCAATTTAATAGGTAATGTTTTCGTACTTTAATCAGATTATTCAAAATTTAAAAGGGTAGGGATTGATTTTGAGAAAGAAAATGGTGATCATCTCATATTTGTAGTGTTTGCTCTTTAATTGTTTTATTTTTTTTAATTTATGATCAAAGTATTTTAAAGTAATTTTTGTACTTTCAAAACTAATTCATTTTAAAATGATTTTATAAATACATTTTTATATTAATTTAGTGCCTTCAAAATAATTAATTTTTTTAAAAATTAATCCTAAAACTTAAATCAATTGTACTTACTAGTAATTTAGATATTAAAAATTTTTAAACTTAAAAGTGTTTTACCCTTATACACATGAAATTATAAAAAGTACGGATGAATTGCTCAAGTCCTAACTCCTCAGCGAGAAATTGATTTTTATCATCGATGTGGAAACTGGAAAGTAAAATTCCTTGTCAAGCAAACCACGACATCTAGGATTTAAATAATGTTTCCTATGATTGGAAAATCATTGGGAAAGATTAATAGACCCATGCAAGTGCAATGATGATTTTAGTGTAGTGGTGGACCACTACGGTATTACATGTAGATGAAGTCATGACGGATTCACGGCCCCCTTGGAAGAAGGAAGTGCAGTGCTGCTCGGTGAATCCGGAGCATGCACTTTATTCACCTGACAGCTTTGTACTTTGGGCCCCTGCGCCTGGAGTGTATTCCTCACGCCTCTCACTCAAATAATTTGGATAGCCCGAGCGATCATATAGCATCTC